GCAGGGAGGGGGTCCGGCCGAGGCTCCCGTGCTGCCGGGGGGCCTCCGGCGCGCCGGGGCGGTCGGCAGCTCCGCACGGAGGCCGGCGAGGCCAAGTCTGGGCCCAGGTCTTCCCGGCCGATGGCCGGGCAGTCGCCGCCCACACCAAGGACGAGGCGCTTCTCGAGGGACGTCGGGTGCGTCCTTGCCTAGGCCGGCCGATCACTGCCGTCGGCCAGCCGGCGCAGAGCCGTGGCAGCTCGGGCTCCCAAGGGTGCTGCATCCTCGTGCTGCATTCTGTCCGACGTGCCGTGGCTGCATGTCGGGAGCTGGTGGCAAGGCATTGGCGTAGCACTTGGCTGACACGAGCGCCACGTGGTCGTCCAGGAAAGCTGCAGAAGTCCGCGCGGGGTCCTCGGAGCTCTCCGCCGACAGCGATCGTCTCCGCTCGGAACCTCGTTCTGCGGGGGGGGAGATGGGGAAGGGGCGAGGACCAGATCGGACGCACTCCTCAGCGGGCGCCCCATCCTGGCCCCCCACCCCCACCCGGTACAACACAGCCACCCCCAGCTCGACCCCCGCTGACAAGCGGTCCCCTGGCCCTCTGCGCAGCTCTCCGAGCCGCGCTCAGCCGCGGCAGCGAGAGCCCCAGAAGCGCCCCCCCCCCCCCCCCCCCCAGATCCGGGCGTTGCAATTTTTGTGCAACGGGCGTTTTCGCCAGGCTTCGGGCCCCAGGACCCTCACAGATCGATCTGGCTCGGAAAACGACGCAGAAAGATGGGGTCTGGGTTTCCGGTTGTGATTCTTGGCGATGTTGCAACTTTTTCGCAACGTCGGATCTCAGGGCCTCCCACCACCAGAAGCAGCAGCAGCAGCAGCAGCAGCAGCAGCAGCAGCAGCAGCAGCAGCAGCAGCAGCCCCAAGCGGCGACATCGACGACGCCATCGTCGCCGCCCTGCCCCCCCCCCGCTGTCTCGGCATCGCTCGGACGTGTGCAAACTCTTCTCGGCGAGGACCATCGAAGAGCAGCTTGGATCATCTTGTGAGGAAAAACACGCGCGAAACCGAACCACGCACGTGGAATGAGCGTCCGAGCGATGGCGAGCTGCTCTCCGCCGGGCTCGGGCGCGGCGCCCGCGAGAGCCTTCCGAGCGAGGGGCCGCCCGCCGTCGCGGGGGGGCTGCGCCCGTCGCCCCTCCCGCCCCGCCGCCCCGTCTCCGGTGCGTGGTGGCTTCGTGTTGTGGAGGGCGATCCATGGAGAGGCAGCATGTTGCCAAACAATTTCCGGACGTCTAAAACATGTGTTAAACATGCTTCAAGCATGGAAAACAGCATGTTTGAAACATGTTTAGGACATTTCCCGGCATTTTAAGCACATGTTAGATTCAATGATAGGACTGTTAGGGTGTCCATTGTCGTGGCATCCACAAGCTTCGTGTCGTGTCGACGCGGCGGCGACCCCGGCGCGGGCGTTCAAGGCTTTCAACGCCGCCAGGGGGCCGCGAGTCGGCCGATGTTGTGAGCGACCTGTGCCATCGGGAAGCCCAGAGGAGCAAGCAACGGCATAAGCATACGGACTCGGAGGTCCGCGCGGATTCCTCGGATCGGCGCGGGGCCCCTCGGCGGCGCCTTCGGCGCCGCCCCCGGCGCGCTCCGCTCGCCAGGGAGGGGGGTCCACCTCCGATCTGGGAAATCCACGCGTTTGTGTGGTCCCTAAAGCGGCCGATTGTTCGAGACTGAAAATCAACGCTTTGCCAGAAGTCGTCATGGCTGTCATGACGGCTTCTGGCAGCGCGTCTTGGATGTGGCCCAGAGGGCCCCCCGAAATCAAGCATCATATATTTAACGCAACAACCATGCTGGACGACATGACATCAACGACGCACCGCCCCAGTCATGGCACGAAGCTGCCGCGGGGGGGGCGGGGGGCGGCTGGCGCAGAGGCGACCTGGGCTTCTTCTGCAGGGGGGGGCCCGCAGACGACTTGTGTGTGAGTGTGTGCACCGTGGCGCGCGGGCGTCTCCCGCGGCGTCGTCGATCCTGGGCCCCTTGGGAATCGCTCGGGCGTGTGCATGTTTTCTTTGCGAGGACCATCGAGGAGCCTCCTCCTCCTCCTCCTCCTCCTCCTCCTCCTCCTTCTCATTCTCCTCCTCCTCCATGTTCTCGTAGGAGAGGGGGGTGCAGGGAGGAGGAGGGGATTGATCTCCTCCTCCTCCGCCTCTGCCCCGCGCGCGGCCCCCACGTCAGGGGCCGCCGCAGGCGGACCTCTGCACGTGCGGAGCAGGTTCCCGCAACCCCCAGTGGCCGCCGCGCCACACACTCTCACGTGGAGCGTCGCCGTAGCTTCCGCCGAGGCGGCGTTTTAGGTCGCCGCGGGCGGAGCGCCACGTGGGGCGCAGCCTCCAGCACGTCTTAGCGTCCGCCGACGCGGCGTTTTGGGACGCCGCATGCCTGGGGATCGTCCCGGGCGCGGCGCCGCGGAAGAGGAGGAGGAGGAGGAGGAGGAGGAGGAGGAGGAGGA